CACCTAAAGTTGGAGGGCATAGATGTCAGTCAAAGTCAAGTTAACGGTTTATTTTAAAAATAAATTAAAAGGTATATTAATGTATTATGCCTTTATTTTTTACTATATTTATGGGAAATATATTAATATGTTGCTAAGATTGTGAGAATACAATAATCTTTGAAACTAAATATATAATGTATTTATTATTTGAACCATAGTCAAAAACTTTCTTTGGTAAGTTAAATCTCAGCAATCAAATCAAGAGTTTGTGGAAAATGGAAAGGAGTCGAATCCAACAAATTTAAAGGTTATAAATTAGCTAACGTCCCCTCTTTTTTTTCTAAGTAAAAGGAAGCATTTTATTAATTTAATGGAGATTTCTTACAACACAATTCTAACAGCAATTTGTGTTGCAATTTTGTTGGTATATACATGGAAAGTGTTGAACTGGGCATGGTTTAGGCCAAAGAAACTTGAGAAATACTTAAGAAAAAGTGGTCTTAAGGGAAATCCATACAAATTACTCTATGGAGATTTGAAGGAACTCAAAAATAAACTCAATGAAGCCAAATCTAAGCCCATCAATTTCTCCGATGGTATAGCTCAAAGAATCAACCCTTTTTTCGCCAACGCTATCGACAAAAACGGTATGTTTCATTTATTCTTTAAAGGAATAATTTTTTCCTATTCTAGTGTATATGTTGTGTAATTTTTTATAAAGACGAATCACTTTTTAGTACCCTAGCTCCATCCATGATTTGAGAGGGCCGTGAACTCTCTAGTAGAGGCAGATCCAAAATTTGAAATTTATGGATTTTAATTATAGGGACCTTAAGTGTATATAAATGGATATACGATCAAACATTTATGGTTCCTATAATACATATAATAGACAAGATTTGTACAAAAGCTATTCAGTTCACATGAACCAATACGTTTCGTGGTTTCTCCTCTCACGACTATAGTTGACTGATGAATTCATGGTTGATAACTTACACCAAATCAGGCAAAGTAAAAAAGATGTATAGTTAACATGTCAACATGTGAACTCTCGTATTTGGAGTGCTTACTTGTCAGTTGGAATTAAATTTGAGTGTCTGTTGATGTATTTGCCTCACTTTTTTTTCTAATCGAAAATGGATTACTCTCAGGTAAAAGTTCTTTTGTGTGGCTAGGCCCATATCCAATAGTGTTGATCACAGAACCTGAACATGTAAAGGAGATTTTGACAAAGAATTATGTGTACCAAAGGCAAACTCATGCCAATCCATTTGCAAAGAAATTGGCTTTAGGTCTTGCGAAGCTCGAGGAAGACAAATGGGCCAAACACCGAAAGATCATCCAACCTGCTTTCCAAGTTGAGAAGTTAAAGGTAATATTCACTTCATATTCTTATAACTAATAGATTTAGCGAACATCGGTAAATTTTCATGCCTAAGACTTAAGATAGCATATTGAAATGTCTTAACATTATGAAGTTGTCAATTTATATCCACGCGTGCAATAACGTACAAACAACGTAGCTCTCCTACTAATAACAAGTACTACTTTTACCTATTGATTTGTTTTGTACAGCATATGCTGCCAGCATTTTATCAGAGTTGTAGTGAAATGATAAGCAAATGGGAGGAAATTATTCCAAAGGAAACACCATTTGAGCTCGATGTATGGCCAGACCTTCAATTAATTACCGCTGAAGTCATTTCTCGAACGGCATTTGGGAGTAGCTATGAAGAAGGGAGAATAGTATTTGAACTTCAGAAAGAACAAGCTGAGTATGTAATTGACATAATTCGTTCAGTTTATATACCAGGAACAAGGTACAACCATTTATTTGTGAAATTTCTACATAACATCGAAAATTATATGTTCATTACTTTCTACTAAAAACACTTTTATTGTTTGCTTTTAAATTTGTTTTGTTAGGTTCTTGCCTACTAAAAGGAACAAAAGAATGCTGGAAATTGAAAATAAAGTCCAAACAACGATTAGAAGTATCATCGACAAAAGATTGAGGGCAATGGAAGCAGGGGAGGCTAGTAAAACTGACTTATTAGGCATATTACTTGAATCCAATATGAGAGAAATTAAACAACACAGAAGCAATGATTTCGGAATAACAACAGCTGAAATGATAGAAGAATGTAAGTTATTCTATTTTGCTGGGCAAGAGACCACTTCAGTGTTGCTCGCGTGGACAATGATTTTGTTGAGCCTACATCCAGAGTGGCAAGCACGTGCCAGAGAGGAGGTGCTGCAAGTCTTCGGAAATGAAAAACCAAATTCGGAAGGGCTAAGTCGCCTCAAAATTGTAAGTACTTTCCGCCAGTTGATTATGTAAGGCAACTTAAAATAGCCCAAGATCACTGCATAGATCGAATTTTAAAGATGAAAAACAGTGTTAAATCAACGATAATATAAGTAGTTTTTATATCGTTTTGCCCATCATTAATGCCAAATTGTTCCCACTGAGATCAGATAAACCACATTTTCTACTCGGAGACTAAAAGATCTCGAAAAGGTATGACATCGACATTTTGTAAGAAGTGAACTCATTCTACTTCCAACTTATGCAATACATTCTTCTCTCCATATATAGGTGACAATGATCTTGCATGAGACGTTAAGGCTATTCCCCTCAGTACCAACGTATCGTAGAAGGAACAAACATGAAGTCAAATTAGGGGAGCTGAGTTTACCAGCTGGAGTGCAACTCATTATACCCACAATATTAATTCATTATGACAAGGAATTATGGGGTGAAGACGCGAAGGAATTCAAACCAGAAAGATTCAGTGAGGGAGTGTCAAAGGCAACAAAAGGACAGGTCTCGTTTATTCCATTTGGTGGGGGACCTAGAGTTTGCATCGGACAAAACTTTGCAATGATGGAAGCAAAAATGGCAATAGCAATGATATTACAAAAGTTCTCCTTCGAACTCTCTCCGTCTTATACACATGCTCCAGTTCTAACAATTACTATTCATCCACAGTATGGTGCTCCTCTGCTTATGCGCAAACTTTGAAATGGATGTTGCTCATATTTAATACCAATGGTGTTGTGTTCTCCGTGTTTCAGCTCGAATACTGCTAAACTAGTCGGTTATGGCTGACATAACTCTTTTCCTATTTCAACATTGCAGTTTTGAATTGATATCAATGTTCATGTTCACTTTCTTTTGACATTTCTTCCGTGGGTGAATCAGTTTAAACTTGTTATAATGCTCCATTGTGTCTCGTGAAGAGTTTACATCAGTGGTTCCTATTTATGCAAGTCAAGCCTTTATGTCTTGTACATATAGATTGTTTTCTCTCAGTCCTGCAAGTTTTTTTTCTACTTATAAAGAGAAAATCTGATTAAATCAGCAAAATTTCATGAATCGCACCCTTGCGTTTATATCAAACCAAGATGTGGGTAAATACTATGGTATAAAACTAGTATTCAACATCCAAAACTCCTTTTTTGTGTGCTGTCAGTACATGAATATTTTGGTAATATATCTTCCGAAAAAACTTTTTTGCTAATCCTTTATGGAACCCTCTGTAAGGTTTCGGGGGAGTAGTTACGTACAATGTCACCATTTTTCGAGTAATTTTTGGGCATTTAGAGTCCAATTTACATGAATTAGGATATTTTCTCATTTTTTCGTCTATATTAATTAGCCCATGAATATTTTGGTGATATGACTTTGAGAAAAAAAATTGTGAAACTTTTTATGGAACTCTCCGTAGAGAGTTGGAGGAGCAGTAAGTACAATCTCACCATTTTGCGAATTATTTTTGGGAATTTAGGGGTCAAATAACATGATTATGCAATTTTCTCAGTTAACACACATGAATATTTTTGTAATATGGCTTTTGGATAATTTCCCTGTGGAACCTTTATTAAACCCTACATATGGAGTTGGGAAGCAGTACGTAGAGTCTCACTATTTTTTGAGTAATTTTTGGGTATTTGGGGACCAATATATAGGAATCATACAATTTTTTCAGTTTACGTATATGTTAGCACATGAATATTTTGGTGATATGACTTTTAGTCGATTTTTTTGCGAAACCTTTATGGAACCCTCCGTAGAGAGTTTGGGGGGGGGGGGGGGCGGTAAGTACAATCTCACCATTTCTAGAGTTATTTTGGGGCATTAAGGGACTAATTCGCAGGATTAGGCAATTTTCTCGATTTTTCATGTGTATCAGCACATGAATATTTTTGTGGTATAGCTTCGAGACACATTTTTTATGAGATCTTTATCAAACCATCGGTACGGAGTTGGGGAGCAGTACGTAATTTTAGAGTTATTTTTGGGTATTTAGGGACCAATATATATAAATTGAGCAATCTTCTTAGTTTTTGTGTATGTTAGCACATGAATATTTTGGTACTATGGCTTCCGGATGAATTTTTTGCAAAATCTTAATAGAACCCTTCATCGGGAGTTGAGGGTGTAATAAGTACAATCACACCATTTATAGAGTGATTTTTGGGCATTTAGGGGCCAAGTTACTGGAATTTGGTGATTTTTCTTAGTTTTTCGTGTGTTAGCCGACAATATTTGGTTATATGACTTTTGAAAGATTTTATGAAACCCTTCGTCGGGAGTTGGTGGAGCAGTTCGTACAATCTCACAATTTTTAGAGAGATTTTGGGCATTTAGAGTCCAATTTACAAAAATTTGACGATTTTCTCAGTATTTCGTGTGTTAACCCATGAATATTTTGGTGATGTGACTTTCAAATAAAAATTTTGTGAAATCTTTATGGAACCCTCCATGGGGATTTGACGGAACAGTACGTACAACCTTACCATTTTTAGAGGATTTTTTTTTTGTATTTAGGGAACAATTTACAGGAATTAGGTATAATGCATAAATATGCCCGTTACTTGGCTCCAGCTTGCATCTATACGCTCCAACTTTGAGTGTGCACAAATAAACACTTAAACTTGTATAAAACTAAACAAATAGACACATTCGTCTTCTGTGACATCATACATGACAATTTTGTGTCCTTTGCGGCGTCCTATGTGTATTATGTCAGGTAAGATGTGTGTGTATACTTGTTTAATTTTATACAAATTTAAGTGTCTACTAGTGCACACCCAAAGTTGAAGGGGATAGACGCCAATTTAAGGGAATATTTATGTATTTTTTTTCTTTTATTTTTTACTAGATTTAGGGATAAAAATACAAATTTTGGTGCTAAAATTGTGATATTACAATAATATTTGGAACTAAACATGTATTTATTATTTGAACCATAGTCAAGGACTTTCTCTGGTTAATTAACTTTTAGCATTAAATCTAACCTACGCCACGTGTTCCAGTCAAAGAAAGAATTTCGGGAAAATGGAGAGGAGGCGTATCCAACAATGTTATAACAAAGTTACATAATTAGCTAACTTCCCCTCTTTGTTCTTTCTATGTGAAAGAAAACAGCTAGAAAGAAGAGTCTTATTACTTTCATGGAGATTTCTTACAACAGAATTATAGAAGCAATTTGTGTTGCAATTTTGTTGGTATATACATTGAGAGTGTTGAATTGGGCATGGTTTAAGCCAAAGAAACTTGAAAAATACTTAAGAAAGAGTGGTCTTAAGGGAAATCCATACAAATTATTCTATGGCGATTTGAACGAAATCACAAATAAACTGAATGAAGCTAGATCTAAGCCCATCAATTTCTCCGATGATATAGCTCAAAGGCTCATCCCTTTTTTCATTGACTCCATCAACAAAAATGGTATGTTTCTTTTAGTCTTCGTCTTTAAAAGAATGAATGTTTTTTAATATTCTTGTATATATCTAGTGTGATTTTTTTTTATATAAAGAGGATCCAGATGAATAATTTTTTGGTACCCTAGCTCCATCCAAGGGGTCGAGAACTCTCATGTAGAGACAGATCCAAGATTTGGAATTTATGAATTTTAATAAGTTGGACTTCAGTTGGAGTGTTTATGAATTATGCCTTCTTTTTTTTTCTAATCGGAAATGGATTTCTCTCAGGTAAAAGTTCTTTTGTGTGGCAAGGCCCATGTCCAATAGTGTTGATCACAGATCCTGAACATGTAAAGGAGATTTTCACAAAGAATTATGTGTACCAAAAGGATACTCATCCCAATCCATTTTCCAAGTTCTTGGCTGTAGGTATTCTGAAGCTTGAGGAAAATAAATGGGCCAAACATCGAAAAATCATCAATCCTGTTTTCCAAGTTGAGAAGTTAAAGGTTATATTCACTTCATATTCTAATTACTACTAAGTTTAGCAAACACGAAGCTCTACTACTGATAACTAGTACTGGTTTTTCCAATTAATTTGTTTTGTACAGCATATGTTGCCAGCATTTTATCAGAGTTGTAGTGAAATGATAAGTAAATGGGAGGATATTGTTCCAAAGGAAACATCAGTCGAGCTCGATGTATGGCCAGACCTTCAGTTAATGACCGCTGAAATCATTTCTCGAACTGCATTTGGGAGTAGCTTTGAAGAAGGGAGAATAGTGTTTGAACTTCAAAAAGAACAAGCTGAGCATGTAATGGAAATAAGTCGTACAATTTATATACCAGGATCAAGGTATAACGATTTATTTGTGAATTTCTATGTAATATATGGAAAATGACATGTTCATTACTTTCTACTAAAAAGTCTTTTCTTGTTTGGATCTAAATTTGTTTTGTTAGGTTCTTGCCTACTAAAAGGAACAAAAGAATGTTGGAAATCGAAAAGCAAGTCCAAACAACGATTAGGCATATCATCGACAAAAGATTGAGGGCAATGGAAGCAGGGGAGACTAGTAAAAATGACTTATTAGGCATATTACTTGAATCCAATATGAAAGAAATCGAACAACATGGAAGCAAAGATTTCGGAATGACAACAACTGAAGTCATTGATGAATGCAAGTTTTTCTATTTTGCTGGACAAGAGACCACCGCAGTGTTGCTCGTCTGGACAATGATTTTGTTGTGCCTACACCCAGAGTGGCAAGCACGTGCCAGAGAAGAGGCTTTGCAGGTCTTCGGAAATGAAAAACCAAATTTGGAAGGTCTAAGTCGCCTCAAAATTGTAAGTAGTTTGTTATGTAAGACAACTTAAAATAGATCAAATTTCAAAGATGAATAACATTATAAAATCAAGATAAAATAAGTAGCTGTTAAATCGTCTTGCCCATCAATTGATGCCAAATTGTTCCAACTGAGTGCAGATAGAACACATTTTGTATCGTCCTATTTCAGTCTCAGAGGGGCAATTACTAGGAGATTAAAATATATTAGGAAGACATGACATCTAAATTTTGTAAGAAGTGAACTAATTCTACTTCCAACTTATGCAATACATGTTTCTTTCCATATATAGGTGACAATAATCTTGCACGAGACGTTAAGGCTCTTCCCTCCAGTAGCAACATATCGTAGAAGGAACAAACATGAAGTCAAATTAGGGGAGCTGAGTCTACCAGCTGGAGTGCTACTCTTTATTCCCACAGTATTAATTCATTATGACAAGGAATTATGGGGTGAAGACGCGAATGAATTCAAACCAGAAAGGTTCAGTGAAGGAGTGTCAAAGGCAACCAAAGGACACTTCTCCTTTATTCCATTTTCTGGGGGACCTCGAGTTTGCATCGGACAAAACTTTGCAATGATGGAAGCAAAACTAGCAATAGCAATGATACTACAAAAATTCTCGTTCGAACTCTCTCCGTCTTATACACATGCTCCATCTTCAACAATTACTATTCACCCACAGTACGGTGCTCCTCTGCTTATGCGCAAACTTTGAAATGGATGTTGCTCATATTTAAGAAATTGCTCTTTTCCTATTTCAACATTGTAGTATTGAATTGTTATCAATGTTGTTGACCTTCTTTGAGCTGGGCCGGTCACTTTTGGGCCGACCTTCTGTTAGACCCATTTGCTTTTTAGTATAGAGAAAAGAGCCTTAAGTACTTCTCAACTTTGCGATTTAGTGCTGGTATACTCTCGTTATAAAATTGACTCACATATAACCCTATCGATACGCAAATGACCAGGTATATCCTTTTGGTCTAACGGAAGTGAGAAATATTTTTATGATTTTTTAAAAAATTGGGCTTATTATTTTGATGGTCGAATTTATTTTCACACATTCTCAAGATCATCAAATAGCTCATTCTCAGGTCTTTTGTTGAGAAATTCAGCAAGATCTGCATCGACTAGGTTTCTACATACTCAATACCTTCATCATTGCATTGAATTGGCAAGTCATCTTTTCTATATTGACAAGGATAAAACTTGGCTAACGTCTCCGCCAAAGATTTTTGCGACTTATCACATCTTTCAGCATTTTCTGCCCTGTTTCACTGATAGTGGGACAGTACTGCTGAATACACAGGGAGGGCTACCTGGTCAAATAACGAATGCTTGGTGATTATAAAAATGCCTAGATCGTTGATTCAGGATGTTCCAATCACATGACTGGTGGTGACAAAAGTTTGATCAACATAAGCAAATAACTCATATTGGCAAGACAGTGTTCATGCGTCGTCATATCTCGAGACAAAGTGCAATTTCAGAATGTCTACTACATTCCATGTAATTCCAAGTAATGTTACAAATTGTTACTAACAATTAATAAGAGGGAACGTGGCATAAATGGCTTTGTTGAACTAGATATATTTTTGTGTAGATGAGCCAACTTTTAACATATGACATAAATGCGTCATTTTTAATAGTTTCATGACATATTTGAATCTTTTCCCAATCTAAACTGATTTTTTTTTAATCATGTTTAAGATAAATTTTTGTTTCTGTAATTGAGAGTACATCTGGCCCTTGATATCCTATTCATGATGTTCTCGAGTCTTGATACTTCCCTTACAGAAAATGAGGAAAAGCTAATGCAATATTATTATCGCCTGTCGCGTATGAATTAATGAGTTTTTACATGATACTAACATGAAACTCAAAAAAAAAATCTAATGCAAAGTTGCTGAATATTACATTCATGAATTGTAATCTAATTCACCATAAGAATTTGAGCTAGATATTGTTTACCTCGGTCCCGATAAAACTGATGGCAATGTTGAGCTGATAGAGGCTTCCCTCGGTACCTTAGGTACATTTCTGAAATTCTAATCTAAGTTGGTTTCAACAGTCACCAAACCTTCGAGTGCCTTAACCACCAATGACATGGAAGGCCTCTCGGAGAAATCGGCCTGTAGACACCACGCAGCAAGGCTCATCATTTCTGTCACTGCTTCTCTGTGGAGCTGCATATCCTCGTTTCTGTCAACCATATCTGTGAGCTGCTCTTGTTCTACTTTTCTCGTAAAAACATTTAGCAAATGGACATCTTCTTCATCACTTTGGGACCAGTCCAAATTCTTTCGTCCACAGAGAATTTCCAAGAGCACAATTCCAAAAGCATACACATCAACTTTTTCGGTGATTATTGAGCTCAACCATTCAGGGGCTATATACCCCGGCGTTCCTCTCATTCTAGTCACAACTTTGCTTTTGTCTTTCTCAATTAGCTTCGACAGACCAAAATCAGATATCTTAGCATTGAAATTTTGATCTAAAGGATGTTTTGTGGTTTGATGTCCAAATGAATTATCTTATGGCTGCAATCCTCGTGTAGATAAGATAATCCTTTCGCAATATCTGATATTATCCTCTTCCTTGTGTTCCATGTAAGCCCATTTTCTTGTGTGATCCACCTATCCAATGATCCATTCACCATGTACTCATAGATTAGAAGCCTATGGCTTTTTTCGGCACAATATCCAATGAGTTTTACCAGATTGATATGGTGAATGCCACCGACTGTCTTTACTTCTGTTAAGAATGATTCCTTTCCTTGACCTACACCATCCAGATGTTTCACAGCTATTTTGGTGCCATTGCTCAGTGTTCCTTCATACACAGAGCCAAATCCTCCTTTCCCGAGCATTCTGCTGAAATCTTGTGTAATTATTTTCAGCCCATTGTAAGAGAATCGAGTTAGGATTCCCGGTAAGATTGGTTCTAGATCCAGAAAACCACCAGCTTTGCGTTTCTCTGACCTCTTTTTGGAAAGAGCAGAGCAAACTGAAAGAATCAAAACTATCCCAATCAAAGTACATCCTATGATAACTCTGAAAGACGATTTATGTCTAGGGGAAATGACTGGTGCATTTGAGGAATTTTGCACCTTAAGAAAAACTGAGGTTCTTGTTGCACCGTCTATGAGAGAGAAGACTTCATTCAATAATAAACAGTTCCCTCGTAGACTCACATCCAAATACGAATTATAAACAGCAGCTTTGCAAGAACAGTTACTCATACATGCCTTTTTGCAATCTTCAATCTTTTTCCCCTCAAACCAAAATATGCTCGAGTTCAAAAAAAATTCATCATTTAACCGTAATGAGAAATAGTCAGTATTCTTTAGCTCTACAAGACTATGATACTGCAAAGAGTCACAAGAAATGGGTGTCAGCTCAGTGCATCCGAGATCTGGATTCCTCTCACGCAATGGTTTGAAGAAGTTAACTTCAGCTGGACAAGTACATTGTCCTCCGTTTGCACAAATGCTGTATCTCCCACACACCATTGGGTAGCCACAGTCGGAGGTTGTCAAAATGTCATCTACCACTTTCCAATTAATGCCGAACCTACTGTTTTCAAGGTTGTCCAATTGGTATGCGCGTAAATGTCCATCATGCCTAAGCTGTATGTATTGAGCTATTGATGTAGGAGGGTATTGTAAAGCAGTAAGGGATTGACCATCAAAACTGTAATAAAGACTGTCGGGATTATCTGAAGTGTAGTAATACTGAGGTGGATCAGAATCTATGTATGTGGCTAAGCTTCCATTGAGAACAGTAAGAGAAAATAAACCTTGACTTGAATTGTCTGCAGAAATGCTTGCTGTTAGCTTCTGACCAGAAACCAAATTCTGCCCGGGGAGCAAACAATCTGTAGGATGATCAAAAGACTGCCAAACTGTGCGGTTGGTCGTATCAAAGAGCACGAGATTCCCCATTTCTGTCAAGTTTAAGCCCGAAACAGATTTTCCTGTAGTATTAGTGGACCAAACAAGAGTGCCATCAGAGTCTGCCAACACCAAGTTGCCATCTCGGCCTAGTTCCAAGGTTGCATTGACTTGCACTGGATGGTCTCGATTAGCAGACCAAACTAACTGTCCCCCCTCTATATAAATGGTCTCACCAGTACTGTTGTATGATACTAACAAGATACCAAGAAAGCATTCGAAACTGCAAGAGAAGCCATAGAGGAATCGTATACTGGCATTTCCTTCCAGAAGGATAGGTGTATAATGAAGGATGTCTTTACTATAAATACTCCCAATGGATGGCATGTTGATCCACAAAGTGGGAACACCGGAAATGAAACTCACTAAACGTTGAGATATTGCGAATTGTGAAGAACATAAGAGAATATAAACAAAGAAAAAGATAGCAAAACATTGTCTATGTTCTTCCATCATTGCTTTCTGAACAAAGACAAAACTAATAGAAAGATTATATGAATCGGTTCACTAGTTGCTACTCCGCTCTGTCTTCTTTTTCTTCTTCTTCTTGCTTATTATGTACTAGTTTCTGGACACGTGCTTTGCACGTTTGTTCCATTTGAATTTTTATAGACATGTTAAAATGCTATGAAAACATATATGTGAACAACATGTAATGAATAATATAATACAAAAATCATAAATAAATCTTTAATAATATAATTAAAAAACACCAAATAAAGGGCATATTTTGATGTTTCAAATTAATTCTTTTTAAGCAACTTACTATAACTTTTGAACTTTGGTTAATAGTTAGCAATATTTCACTAAAGTCACAAGTGGCTAATTTGAGCTCAAATAAGTATTTAGACTTACGACAATAAAACATTCATAGAAAACTAAATTAAGAAGTCTAATAGAGAAAAAATAAATAAAAGATAACAAAAAAGCTACATTGAAAAAGGCTAAGTCATTATGTGTATAAACTTCACTTTAGTGCTATTTACCACGACGGATTTGTAACATGAAATTTTAAATTTTGTATGTTAAAGATATAAAAAAAAAACATTCTACAGAAATAATAGGTAATGAAAGGACAAAGAATTGAAAAAATAGATGAATATGAAATCATAAATCTTTTAATTGATGTCTTCTCCCAAATTTCACATTAATAGGAAAGTTGAATACCACATATTTTGACAAATCCGCAACATGATATACATAGATAACGTAAACTATTTGAACATACATCAATTTGAAAGTATCTCAATCTTTAAAAATTAGCTTATCAATAAAGAAATAAATTAAATAAAAAATAAGATTAAAAGAGAACTAAATATAAATTGTCAACAAACAAGATATCAAGCAGAATCATGCATGAATAATCATTAACTAAAACTACTAAAATCTCAATACGAAGAACGAGTTACTCCATCAATAACCATCAACTTTTTGTACGTGTCTCTAAAATTTACATTAATAAAAGAAGTAAAATAATGTTTATTATGATAATTCGTAAGATGATACAATATTTCTTAGAAAAAATGATATTCTTAGAAAAAATGAAATTCTACACAATGAAATTCATCTCATCAATATAATTGAGAAATTAAAATTTAAAATTTAAATTTAAAAAATAAAATTAGAATAGAAATTAACACAAGAATAAAATAATATACGAGAACATGACAAAATACAATATACAAATATAAGATTCCAAATAAATTCAAGAATTTCTTCAAATAATAAACCAGTTGAAAAATAGTCATTATCATGAAAGTAAGATACAAAATATCATTATCAAAATCTTATA